TTGTAGTGCTGTTTTCTGTAACCCTAGCCTGGTTCAGGGCTCTCTAGAATCAATAAGGATTAGAGAATTTTGAAATTGCAGAGGACATTGCCAGGAGCAGTATGTAACCATCAGTGGCAAAGTGGGATAAATGGCTGTAATGGATAGTGGGATCTGAATTATAACCAGAAGCCCTGATCTATGGAAATCACTAATAGATAGACGCTCTGGGTCCTAGAGGCAAGATGATGGTCAGTCCATAATATCAACAAATAGATCTGACTTAGCTCTCAGAATCAAATTTCTCAGGTCTTTCTAAGGAAAGACCCTCCACTGCCACAGCAAGTGTATTAATGAAAAGCAATGGCTTTTTTCAGTTCTTTCCTGAGGTGACATTTTGCCATGTACATGTTTAGCTGTAAACTAGGAAGGATTATTCCCAGATATTTTGAGTCTATTAGAAATTGGGTCTGAGTTCACACTGATACTAGGCACTCAAGGGCATAGCCATTAGTCTGTAAGTACCGGGCATAAGGCAGTCAGGTGAGGAATATATTCTAATCCAGGTCTGCTTGCAATGGGTCCAGTGAATCCAGAGACCCATCCATTGATTATTTTTCTGAGAAGCTCACAGAAAGCTCATCAGAGGGGACCAGCAGTAAGTGTAATGACTATGTCGCTGGATTCCCATGTAGTCAAACATGGTTCGAGTCTTGGACCCAGTAGCTTAAACTCATGCTGAGCACGTGTGTGTGTGTGTGTGCCCAAGATCCCGAGAGAAGAATGGAGGAGAAGGGATTGCGGTGTGGCCATCCCCCCTGGGGGGTGATTTCTCGCTTTCTGTCTCTGTCTCTCTCTGTCTTCCTGGTGAGTGCACATGCCCTATAGCAAAAAAAAAAAAAAAAAAGTAAGAAAGAAAGAAAGTTCACCAGAGTTTCTTGACTTTCAGAATGGGAGCAATTATTATAGGAAAGGTCAAGTTGAAGACTGAGACTGCCCACTCCATCTGAGAAATCACCCCCTCTTTCAGCTAAGATAGTAAAACAAAAACAACGGCAACTCCCAAATGGAATGAGAGAGGTTAGTACCATTCTTAAAATTAAAGGATGCAGGATATTGGTTCTTATATCTACATTTAATTAGCCAAGAATCAAAGTTATTTCCACTGTACGGTTGCCTCTCTGCTGGATAAAATTGGAGTTGTAGTTGCTGGATCAACACTGCTGCTGAGAATTTAAGTTCACTATTTCTCTTCTTTACGCCACGAGTTCAAAATTTATAGTCCCTGCTGGGAACTCCTAATTAGTTTAGCCAAGGTCATGTTCCCTGATCTGGCTGTTGGAGGTAAGAATAGTGAGGAGAGCAGTGGAGGAGGGAGAAGAAGAAAATTAGCCACCACAGTCACTATTGGAGATCAGAGAATAAGAAGAGCAGTCTGGTTCAAAATGAAAGAGCAGGGAGGGAGGGGTCTGGTCATATAGAACTTTTAGGCCCTGGTTAAAATTTAAAATTTAGGGACCAGCAGTTGGTATAATGGCTATGTAGCTGGACTCCCATGTAGTCAACTGAGGTTCGAGTCCTGGCCCTGGTGGCTTAAACTCACGCTGGGCGCATGTGCGTGCATGTGCAAGATCCCGAGAGGAGAATGGAGGAGAAGGGATTGCGGGTCTGCTTGCAATGGGTCCAGTGAATCCAGAGACCCATCCATTGATTATTTTTCTGAGAAGCTCACAGAAAGCTCATCAGAGGGGACCAGCAGTAAGTGTAATGACTATGTCGCTGGATTCCCATGTAGTCAAACATGGTTCGAGTCTTGGACCCAGTAGCTTAAACTCATGCTGAGCACGTGTGTGTGTGTGTGTGCCCAAGATCCCGAGAGAAGAATGGAGGAGAAGGGATTGCGGTGTGGCCATCCCCCCTGGGGGGTGATTTCTCGCTTTCTGTCTCTGTCTCTCTCTGTCTTCCTGGTGAGTGCACATGCCCTATAGCAAAAA